AATCGTGCTCAAATTGATTTGATTTTGACGCAATATTTACACTGAAGCTCGCAGGCGGCTATGGTAAGGCGCGTGATATTTCCCCGACCAGGTGCCAAGTGCTGCCAATCACAGCGCACACTGGCCCAGCTAACCAATCACAGCCCACACTGACCTAGCTAACCAATCACAGCACACATTGGCCCAGCTAACCAATCACAGCACACACTGGCCCAGCTAACCAATCACAGCACATTTCGTATTTCAGAAGGTGTGCCTTCATTTGATACAGGAAATATTCGAGCCGTTCATGCCAGACTGGGGAGAGAGGTGTTGTAATAATGTAAAATATGTGAAAAATAATGTGTTTTTCGAACAACCTAGTATGAGAGCCTGTTGTTTTTTAAAGTAACGACCAAGCATCACAGACATGATAAATATTTCTATAGAAAGGTTTAAATTAATACTTAACAAAATAAAACAAATCAAAAACTCTTTCATTATAATCATAATCATATGCCATCTGGTGCTAGCCAGGTGTAGAGACGCCGTTTTGGTTGCTTAAAGCCAGTGTTGGTAATCCACAGCTGGTTCTCATGGCAAAATTGGACTAAACGATCTCCGACTTCGTTACTCTCGCCCAAGCCACAGCTGCCCATAACATGAGTTTCGACATGGCTTCCCACTTTGGTGTTGAAATCTCCAGTCCAATAATATATTTTTTTGGTGTCTGATCCATTGCTTCCTGAACTTCAGCATAGAATTCTTCAATGATGGTTTCATATATTGCTGTTGGATGTTGGAGCATAAACCTGCAAGATGGTGATGTTTAGTGGCTTACCTCGAATTTGGATGGCGATCAGCTGGTCATTAATTGTTCGATAACTTTCCACTGATCTGCTGATAATGAAGGCCACACCATTCCTCCGGACTGTATCTTTTCCTGAGTAATAGATGGTGTGGTCCCCCGACTGGAAAAAGCCCCATCCTATCCAGTGGAGTTCGCTTATCCCCATTTTGTTTTGAACAATCTGTAGCTTTCCAAGGTCCATACCACATACATTCCATATGCCAATTTTCATTGATTTGGTGCAGCGCAGGCAGTTCTGTTCGATCCTGTTGGTATCAGCAGTTGAGCGTCCCGGAAGTTTTGTCTCAACCACGTCATAAGTAGCTGGTCTACTGGGAGCACATCCTCGCTCTTCTCCAGTTACATTTTGGACACTGTCCAGCCTGGAGGGTCCACTGTCCGATGCCATATTTGAAGACGTAGTTGTTTGCATTTCTTTGAAGTTTTTTGGCCATAATCCGAGGGTAGGTGGCCAGGTCTTTCCCTCAGTCCTCCCTGGGCTCAACCACAAATGGTTGAGACCTTAGCCTACGGTTTAGCCCCGGAGTGTAACCGTAGTTGATCCCCGACACCATGAAGAGGTTTGGGATGGAACTTTGATGGGGTGGAGAAAGTAGTTACAACAAATTTTGAGACATTCCTTCGTTTTCCTTGACAATTTTTGAGACATGTCTTTAAGAAAATTAAGAGTTAGCAATATTGAAAAGGTGTTCTCAAATTACATGTAGCACCTATTTCAGTAGCTTAATGAGTATAGGATCCAGTTGTATGTTGGTTTATATGTCTTGATGTCTGTTGCTTTGTGCCATTAAACTGGGGTTAACTTTTGTCTTTTTTTGCCTTAGACCTGATGGCACTTAAAGAGGAGAATGAAGGACTGAATGAAATCAAAGAGGAAGATCAATACAAGAATCAGCATGATTTCAAAACTGAAGAAAAATCTTTTAGTTGCTCACAGACTGAAACAACCTCCTTACAGAAAAGGGCGCAAAAGAGAGGAAATAGAAGACATTTCACCTGCCAGCAATGTGGAGTAAGTTTCACTCAAAAAGGAAGCCTTAATAGGCACATGAGAATTCACAATGGAGAGAAACCTTACTCGTGCCCTCAGTGTAGAAAAACATTTGATCAACACGGAAACCTTAAAGTCCACATGAGAATTCACACAGGAGAGAAACTTTTTACCTGCCAACAGTGTGGAAAGAGCTTCAACCGAAAAGGAAACCTTGATTACCACATGAGAAATCACACTGGAGAGAAACCCTACAAATGCCCTCAGTGTGGAAAGAGTTTCCTTCGAAAAGGACACTTTAAAGAGCACTTAAGAATCCACACAGGAGAGAAGCCTTTCACCTGCCAGCAATGTGGAAAGAGTTTCATCCAAAAAGGACACTTTGAAGGGCACCTAAGAAATCACACTGGAGAGAAACCCTACAAATGCCCCGAGTGTGGAAAAAGTTTTCTTCGAAAAGGACACTTTGAAGAGCACTTAAGAATCCACACTGGAGAGAAACCTTTCACCTGCCAGCAATGTGGAAAGAGTTTCAGCCAAAAAGGAAAATATGAAGAGCACATAAGAAATCACACTGGAGAGAAACCCTACACATGCCCCGAGTGTGGAAAGAGTTTCATCCAAAAAGGACACTTTGAAGGGCATCTAAGAAATCACACTGGAGAGAAACCCTACAAATGCCCCAAGTGTGGAAAGAGTTTCAGCCAAAAAGGACACTTTGAAGAGCACATAAGAATCCACACTGGAGAGAAACCTTTCACCTGCCAGCAATGTGGAAAGAGTTTCAGCCAAAAAGGAAAATACGAAGAGCACATAAGAAATCACACTGGAGAGAAACCCTACACATGCCCCCAGTGTGGAAAGAGTTTCCTTCGAAAAGGACACTTTGAAGAACACTTAAGAATCCACACTGGAGAGAAACCTTTCACCTGCCAGCAATGTGGAAAGAGTTTCAGCCAAAAAGGAATCCTAAACAGGCACATGAGAGTTCACACTGGAGAGCAGCCGTTTATGTGAGGTCACAGTGGAATGAGTTTCAGAAATAAAGCAGCCCTCAAGTACCACATGAAGATTCATGTCATCAGTGTGGAAGGAGTTTCACAGACAAGAAACACCTTAAGAATCATGTAATAACTCACACTGGAGAGAAGCCTTCCATGTGCCCTCACTGTAAAAAGACTTTTTAGAGCAAACCTTGCGGTTCACATAAGTGAAAACAGCATTAGAGTGTTGGAGTGGATCTCTGCCATGTATGGGACATTTCAGTTGTGGCAGGAGAAGGGCCAGATTGACTAAATAGGGCAAATTAGAGAGTCAGAAATTCTAAAAAGCATTGATGGGAGCGGAAAGTTCTCTGGTGATCTACTGACACAGCAGCTCATTTCCATAATGACCGACGCAATCTACCAAGAGCAGCGCAAATTACAAATAATGGTGCTTGGATATTCTGATAATGTCTCTCTGTCCTCCGACAGCAACTATTGCAGCATGTCAAGCACAAAATAAGTTAAGACGCTTTTTTGGGACATTAAATTATGGCACAAATACCATGCAAACCACGTTGCGTGATTTATTTAAATATTCTCCTCCCATAAATGTTGTGTCTGAAAGAGAAACTCCTACAAATGCACATGCATTAAGAATTTTTTATGTGTTTTACTGGAGAAATATGTACGATTCAAATAAACTAAATCAAATCAGAAGATCTTCCATATTTTCCCTCTGGTAGCGGAGGAATTGTGGTTAAAAAAACAAACCTAAATCTGTTCGCAAAGACGCCGAAGGACTACTACTTCACTTGAAGAGGGTGACGGTGATGACAGAGGTGATGATAAAGAGCAGGAGGAAGAACAAGAGAGGGAAGACGAGGAGGAAGAGGTCCAGCCTAGAAAATACGAAGAGCACATAAGAAATCACACTGGAGAGAAACCCTACACATGCCCCCAGTGTGGAAAGAGTTTCCTTCGAAAAGGACACTTTGAAGAACACTTAAGAATCCACACTGGAGAGAAACCTTTCACCTGCCAGCAATGTGGAAAGAGTTTCAGCCAAAAAGGAATCCTAAACAGGCACATGAGAGTTCACACTGGAGAGCAGCCGTTTATGTGAGGTCACAGTGGAATGAGTTTCAGAAATAAAGCAGCCCTCAAGTACCACATGAAGATTCATGTCATCAGTGTGGAAGGAGTTTCACAGACAAGAAACACCTTAAGAATCATGTAATAACTCACACTGGAGAGAAGCCTTCCATGTGCCCTCACTGTAAAAAGACTTTTTAGAGCAAACCTTGCGGTTCACATAAGTGAAAACAGCATTAGAGTGTTGGAGTGGATCTCTGCCATGTATGGGACATTTCAGTTGTGGCAGGAGAAGGGCCAGATTGACTAAATAGGGCAAATTAGAGAGTCAGAAATTCTAAAAAGCATTGATGGGAGCGGAAAGTTCTCTGGTGATCTACTGACACAGCAGCTCATTTCCATAATGACCGACGCAATCTACCAAGAGCAGCGCAAATTACAAATAATGGTGCTTGGATATTCTGATAATGTCTCTCTGTCCTCCGACAGCAACTATTGCAGCATGTCAAGCACAAAATAAGTTAAGACGCTTTTTTGGGACATTAAATTATGGCACAAATACCATGCAAACCACGTTGCGTGATTTATTTAAATATTCTCCTCCCATAAATGTTGTGTCTGAAAGAGAAACTCCTACAAATGCACATGCATTAAGAATTTTTTATGTGTTTTACTGGAGAAATATGTACGATTCAAATAAACTAAATCAAATCAGAAGATCTTCCATATTTTCCCTCTGGTAGCGGAGGAATTGTGGTTAAAAAAACAAACCTAAATCTGTTCGCAAAGACGCCGAAGGACTACTACTTCACTTGAAGAGGGTGACGGTGATGACAGAGGTGATGATAAAGAGCAGGAGGAAGAACAAGAGAGGGAAGACGAGGAGGAAGAGGTCCAGCCTAAAGGAGAAAAAAAGGCGTAGTAAGAGAAGATATTCATCTGATCCTGCACAAGCCCAAGACCTTGCCATTCTTGGGGCAATAAATTAAACCCTTAAAGTCCTGACAGAGAAGCACCAGAATCTGCAGCCACCCAAGAATGACAGCATATATGCCTTTTGTCAGTATATAGAGCAGCAGTTAAGATCAATAGAAGACCCACACCACCTACAATACATACAATTTCAAATACATCAAATACTATTGTCCCCTCGCCCTTCTTCAAGCCAGTATGCAGCTCCATATTTACATCCATTGTAGTCCCCAAATCACCGATCTCCAATCATATTTATTTGTTTATTTTTTGGCGTATCGATTGCTATTCGTATTTTATTTGCAGTAATACCCTGGTTAATTTTCGTAAGGGTAGCGCTGACCCTATTATTGAACTATGTAGCGTTGACAGCACTGGCTTTGTTCAGCACCACCTGACCGGACAGTTCCCATAACGATACGCATACTTCAAACAAGAAGAACAGAACAGATTCCCGCTTATTCTTTGCAACAAGGTAATTATAAATTGACATATTGATTAAACCAAAGTGGTGAGGATCGGAATGCATACCTTAAGATGTCTTTCTTTGAGAACCTGATAGATGGCTCTACATGTCTCGGGAATAAGTACGCTTAAAGTTGAGCATCCGATGCCAAACCGTGTCTGTTGGCATTTGTCGGTGCCGTGAGAAAATTGGCCTATATATATATATATTATGAAAAATTCTCTTACTATGTTCCAAAGGGCAGCTAAGGCTGCTGAGTCCAAATACTTCTCTGATCTGAGCACTCAAAATCGGCACAAACCTCATGTCCTTTTTCCCACCACTGACTTTTCCCTGAGCCTTCGGTTTCCCTTTGTGAACGTTTTGGAAAGTTTTTTCAGAAATAAGGTCATGGCTGTTAGATCTCAGAAGTCTCATTCTGATTATACTCTGTCTGACGCTCCTCTATACTATGTGCTTTTGTCATGCTCGTTTTGTTCAAGTTGAGTGGCTCAAACACAGTTTGGCAGTTGTACTTTTTATATGTGCTGAAAAAAAAGAGGAAGCTGCGAAAGAGCTTGAGGTAAGCAGTTTTAAGTTTCCGCGACATGGAACTGATGCCTTTGCCGTTTTGTTTTTTAGTGGCTATGCCTGGGGCCACTTCGTCAGGTAGTCTACTATAACACAAGATGTACTGATTTCCATTTCCAGTAGCTGTGAGTTCACCTATAATGTACATCCCCACCAGTACAAAGGGTTGTGTAACCTAGTAAAAAAATAAAATACACAAGAAACCAACATTTATCCAATGTAATATCCACATTCTTACAGTTTTTCTCTTACAAAATGGACACTTGAGGCTATCTGTACTGTATTCATATTACCTTCAATTTCAAACGTGTTTGCTCTCTTTCTGAAAGTGTTTTTTCCCCGTCTTTGTTAGACCATCAGGGTATGTTACTGAGGTTTTGTAAGTAGTAATTTGTTTGGAAATGTCTGGATCCATGGGTTAATCAAGCAAACAAACACAATAGCCAAGTAGCCTACACAGTGATGCACCTTACAGTAAGCTGTCTGAGGATGAGCTTCTCCACCACCCCTTTTTATAGTCATCCTATTGAAGCAGCTGCTTTTTAATCCGAATCAAATCACTTTAATTGCCTGTTTTTGTGGCAGTTTTTTTAGTTTTGTGTTTTTGAAGACAACCCCAATAATGAGATCAAGTCCATTTGATTTGTATACAACATACATAGTTTCAAAGCAACTTTACAGACATAAAAAAAATCTGTATCTTACATAAGATATACTATATCTACTATAGTACATCTATACTACCCTAAAGGCAGGTTTCAAGATAAATACATATAAGGCACAATTTTTAATTGTTAATTTAATGATTATGAACACAAATTATGCATGACCATCTAAACTGATATTAAATGATATACCATCAGTTAAACCACAAAGCTACATTGCCCTGAGTCAAATGATTTATGAAGATTCTTGGATACATTTAAAGATGTAACTTGAGATTCAGCTTCGTTAATATTTTATGTGACTTAGCTGCATTGTTCAGGTTGAAACAATGGAACATAACAAACAAAAACAATAACAAAAAGTTATAATCTGCCTGCACACCTCCTCAGTCCCCAAAGTGCAGGACCAGTGACGTTATTGTTAGGGGCGTAAATTTCGTCTTAACAGTTGGGGGGGGGGGGACAACAGTCGGCGGCCATCTTTGAAACGCCTCTCGGGCGTGCAAGTGCAGCTCTTATCTCTTTGAATGGGGAAACATCAAATTCTCCAAAACTGTTCACCAAGCTTACGATTAAATTTCAAATTTGAAATCACCAATGAAATCTAACAACTGCCTCATAAATATTGTTCCTTATGCTCCAATAGCGTTAAAAAAAGCTTATTTTTCAGGCTAGATCAGCCAGTGCACATACACAGTCCTGAGCGCACGTCTCTGAACGCTGACTGTTTCTATAGCAACCGGGATTCTAACGGCAGCTGCAGTGATGCGCTGACTTTACCGATTAGCGATTTGCTCTTTTGCTCAGAAGGCGGGGCTTTGTTTGATAGAGCGGCCATATTGCGCGTTGCATTTTTCCCCATTCAAAACTATACGAGTGACACGTCTTGGGTTTTCTGTAGTCTTTGACTAAATTGCAATAAATAAATGGTTTTGAAGAGGAATATTTTGGTCAATGTCTTTGAAATAGTTTACAATAAAAGTGCGATCAACTATTATAGAAAACTGAATAAGGGCTGGAGACCTAATCTCACTTGCAGTTCCTCGGATTATAGTATTGGCCATCATGTTCAGGATTTCATTCTGTGATTTAGGGCTTGTGTATGCAATGTTGTGATCTGTTAACCATTTCAATAAAATGGGGTCATCCTCTTCTGCCCTAAGTTTCAGGAGCCGATACAGATTCCCACTTTCATCAGTATGGCCTCTTAAAGATTGTCCCTGCCTTGCCACATTGCTTGAGGAAAGTTGTTAGCTCTATATGGTATGTCTTGCTACCTCCTGCTGTTTACCCCATGCACGAGATAACTGGGCACTGATTGGGTGTTACAACCCTTTGTTTTGCATTCTCTCGATTCTTTCTCTTTTGTTTTGGAAGTGTTTGTGTCCAGATACAGTGCTGATTGGCTCCTGCAGGCTAATGACTGGCCCATCTTGATTGGTGCATTTGATTCCAGGCACACCTTAAAAGCCCTGGTGTCACATTGTGTTGTTGTTAGGGCTAGACCAGAATATTCGTTCGGTGGGTTGGCATTCGATTTTCAATTCTGAGATTCGAACATTCTTTTTCCCCCCGAACACCTGGCATTCCCCACGAAACGGTTCTCATTCGCGCTTGAATATGAATCGCCCATGAGTATCCGCCATGTTAATCAGTAATTTTACACTTGATAAAAACGTGCACTTAATTTGCTTGGAAAATACTTGCGAATACGACAGTCATAAAAAAACGTACAGTAGCCCAGCCTAATAATAATTTGTCTATATTAAAAGTATTGCTCTTAACAGACTTGTGTGTTTTGTATCACTAGTGCAGTGTCCGTTCTCGGGAGAAT